GTTTCATAATGAAACTTTGTGTTTCTATTTTTTGCTGATGAGCTAAAAATGAAGCAGAATCTGTTAGTAGAGGTTTCGCTAATATTTGTGGCTTTTATTGTTTTTCATAAGAAGGGATTGAAACCAGAAACCAGCAAGTTAAAAAATCTAATGAAATACGATTTCTTAGCACAAGGTTTGTTACGATGTGCAGCGCTTTTCTTCATGACGTGTAGAGACAGAGGTAGAGGTCACGCCCACCGAGGTCATAGATGAGCACAACAAGCTCACCAAGTGACAAAGAGGTCATAACCGAGACGGTGAAGTGACAGATTGGTTCTTCAGCCTCTTCTTCACCCAGATGGCAAAGCCGTCCCAGAGACTTCCTTTGTGTTTCCCCAGCTTTCATCCATCACACACAGTTCAGGCTGAAATAACGAGGCGAGCGCTCCTGAGCTGAAAAACCGTGGAAACAATCAGTTTATTATAAGTTGATCTTCGCCTCCTGTGTAGGTGTCGTATTGTGTTGAGGCAAATTAGAAGAAGCTTCTCTAAAATGTCCGAGCTAGAAAATGAGCTCACCTCCTCTGTGACCAGTTTCCTGGTAACGAGCCCCGAGCTTCCTGTAATGACAACCACACTGGTATTTGTTTTTTTAAAGCTTGGCTTTACTGATGCCAACGCTCGTCATGCACTTGAAACTGTTTCATTAGAAATCTTCGCTCGGCCTTCCTTTGCTTCCTTTTTGGTTTGCTTGTTTCCTTCCTCTCTCCGTGATGCCCACACGTCTCTCTAAAGCGCTCGTCTCTACAACAAACACTAATATTGTTTCAAAATGCTCATTTTTCTGGTTCAAATTCCCGCTCAGCCACAGAGCGCTGAGCTGTGCTGCTTTTGCGTCACAGCGTGTGGTCGTTTCTTTGATGAGGAAACCCAGCTTGAGTAAAATGTCCTTTTAAAGATTATTGCAACATGTCGTTACTAACCGAGTCTTCCTCTCCTCTGTGATTCAGGCAAAGTATCACTGGCAGAGTCAAAATGTCAAGCAAAGCGGCGTGGACGACATGGTCCTCCTGTCAAAGATCACCGAAGACGCCATCGTGGACAACCTGAAGAAGAGATACATGGACGACTACATCTTTGTATCCTACGAGCTGCCAGCTGTGTTTGATGTTGTAATTTTACCTGCAGGAACTAAAGGCCTCTATTTAAACTGTCCCCATAATCTTCACATTAAATCTCGCTAAAGAACCCGAACGTGAAAGCGTGAAGTGAAAAATCGCCTCCAGTTCTAAGTTGGCTGAAATGGCCTTCTTCCATATTTGTGTACAGTCTTCTTATCCACCCACAGACGTGCTGATCAAAACACAAATTCACAGACAATCAAACAAACATATTTGGGCATAAATATAAGGAATTCACTCTTCCTCTTCTGAGTTCACCGTGTGACTCAACAGCCCACTTCCGTCTTCTGAAAGCACAGCTGAACGTCAGAGCCATATTTAGAGGTAAAAACTCATCCATGTTAAATCCTGAGTGAGAACGAGTTGATGTTCTATCGAGAACGACTCGTAATAAGAAGCTGTTTGTTAATCACGAGTTACTCTCCTGTTAACACGGGGG